TACCCCTTTTCTGACAAGAATCCATCTCAACACCATCCCATACGGTAGGCTCTTTCGGTTGTGATCACAGCAGAAAACCATATGTTGCAACATCAAAGCCGGCAGATTGAACTTAACCATATTTTTGAGACAGAAAGCAAAGGTGCACTCCAACTTTCCCAACAACCAACTTTTGTTGTTATTGGGCAACAAACAATCCGTCACCAGCACAACCAAGATCCTTTGCTCCGCGGACAACCACTTTTTCTCCGGTCCTTAAGCTTGAGTGAAACCACTCGTGCGACCCAACAAGTAACTCAAATAGTCCCGGTACCCCATGGTATCCGTACTAATCCACGAGTTACCGCTATACTGAGCAACACCAGAAGCAGATAAACTCAAAAGCTGAGCTAGCCTCTTTTCGGACAGAACTACTTTCACACCTCTCACTTTAGAAGTGATCTCAAGCTTATCACCATCCTTGGTCACGACCATGCGACGATAGAATTCCTTAACCAAATTCAGGTAAGTCTCAGACCTTATGGCGAGGAACCCGTCCAAAAAACCTTGGAATCTAAGCATATCCAACAAAGAATTAGGAAAAGATTCTGGGTCAAAAGCTTTACCTTCAAGAACAAGGTAATGGGTATCCACCCATTCCGCTTTTCTATCCAAACTTGACCTTCTAGGCATGGTAGGAGATGACCCAAAGCTCAACAAAAGAAGCCCACAAATTTCTCTTCTTCTTCTCTCTCTCGACGGCTCTCTCTCACACTCTCGCTGCTCTCTCTCTCGGCTTCCGGCGGACGGAACTGCTCGGCAGGGAAGCTCCAGCGTGCGACGGCAGCAGCTCGGCTCGATGGCGACGGTCCAGCGGTGATGCGTCGACGGGTGGAAGAAGGGGGGGGGGGGGGTAGCGGGTTGGGTTCTTCTCGGCTGCACACGGGTAGGAGGAAGAAAGAGAAGGGAAGGGAGATTTGGGATTTTAGGGATTTTGGGAAAAATTGGGGAAAGATGATTGAATTTGGGAATTTGGGTAAAGTGGAAATTTATGGTTTAGATGGAATTAAAATTGGGTAGGTTCTAAGTAAGAGAATTAGCTCAAGTGGTTTAAGGGTTGGGTTGGCAAAAAGTATACCTAAGTTCGAAAGTCAAGGCTTGCAATAAAATGTTTTACTTGCTTTTTTTAGGCTTCAACAAGAAAGGATTTTTGGTATGGGTTCTCTACTCTCGAATTCAAAGAATACTTGGAGGAATTTAGGTGGTTCTCAACAAGAAAGGTTACAAGAATACCCAAATGCAAAGGTCATAAGAATTAACCCAAGCATGACTCATCCCAAGAATGAATAACTAACTCCACCACGAGGCTTACTCATAAAACTAAGAGAATCATTCATCAAGAAAGGCTTACACTTAATTCCAAAGGAATCATTATCAAGGGAACAACATGACAAGGATAGGAAAGTAACCCAAGTAGACAACGAAGAAACACAAGGCAACACGCAAGGCAAACAAGGAACGAGATGTATTCTAAAGACAAGGGTAGGCTAGAAAAGAATTACCTGCTAGCTCCTCCTCCACTAGGCCCTCAGACTCCGCCTGCGAACGCCCCATCGCAAAGACTCTCCCTGATGGCCTGGCACCAGCTGCTCCACGGCTCGAACTACCTCCAGCTGCTCCTCCGGCTCCCGGGGGTGGTGGCAACGCCCTTTGACTGGCCTGGTGGGGGCACTCGGCGACTTTGTGGCCCCTATCTCCGCATCGGAAGCACTTAAACGTCTGGCCATGACAATCTTGGCCCGCGTGCACCTTTCCACATCTACAGCACGGGAACAACTTGGCTTGATTTCCTTGCTCCATTCGGTTGGGTCCTTGGGTTGGAGATGATGCATTCTTAGCTTGGAAACTCGGTCGCGGTTTCTTATAGGTGGAAGAACCTCCACTCTTAGTCCTCTTTCTAGCCAACTCATATGACCTTCTTCTCCCGCAAAGGTCGGCGGTCTGTGACCAGACACCAAACAACCCATGTCCCTGTGCCCAGCGGGTTGAGGAGGTGGCACAGGATGGTTGTTGTTCAACAACGCCTCACTAAGAGTTTGTATCGTCTGCGTTAACTGCTGCAGGTTCTGGGCAAGCTGCTCATTTGTCAAGGTCTCCGGGTACGCGCTCGTGGACGAGTAGGCATCGCAAAGCTTCTACAACAACAACACGATTACCAAAAGACAACAAACAAGCAAACAACTGCAAACAACGCTCAACTTGCCGCGCAACCTAAAGTCCTAAGCCTAGCACTTAGATTCTTAAGGTCACTTTAAGGTCTCAAACCACACTTAGCCACTTAGAAGTCTAGACTTTACCCACCTAGGCTCAAACATAGGCTCTGATACCAACTGTAACACACCCTAATTTCCATGCTAATTAAAGCCCTAAACATGTAGATATCTAAGCAAAACATCAACACAACGGGAGACTGAAAAAGGATTATATAAACTGGAAACGGAAGGGGTGCTATGCCACGCTCACCCAGAGGTGAACGCACATGCTAACATCTGCATAATTCATAAGCTAAAACCATACATGTCCAAAATACAAAAATCTATCCTTGGCACACAGGCCATAACGACACAAGATGGGAGCTACAGTAGCAGGCTCTAGACCGCGCTCACGTCTAAACATCACCTGAAAGAAACACATAAAAGATGGGACGACGCCTGGTCAGCGAATAATGCTGGTAACCCACCAATATATGTGAAATATCATACATAGATAAGATATACGTTTGTAAAATCAATTGCGAAACGGAATATGTATATGTAAGTTCCAAAACCGAGAGCAAAAGCAAACACAAGACTTTAAGCACTCACAATCAACAATACGGGAACACATCCCAAGGCACAAAATGCAATAACGACTCACAAGAACGGCTCAAGGCATAATCTACCATCACATAGTTGATTAACACCCGACATACATAACTCAAGATAGTAAGGACACAACCAATGGCAACACATGCCTTTATGACTACACACTTCACAAGAAGAGATACTCACAACAATGGCTACACAAGCCTTCGTGACATCACACATCACGAATTGATATGTCTTCCTTATGCCCGGTTCCAACCTTATGGCTACCCCCAACCTTATGTCTAGTTCCAACCATTACCTCCAGGACCCCTGTACTTCTTAGTCCAACCTTTTCCCTCCTGGTACCTTTGCCCCCCACCAACAAACCACCAACAAGACCACCAATTCATAGTACACAACGTACCGATCACACACACGGCGACACACGCCTCTCCAAAACACGTGAATCCGACACACAGGTCACAAACTCCATAATCACATCATGGCCACCACGAGGACCACTGCCGTACCTTGGTGACTAGTGTCCCATACCACTAATCGTGCAATCCAGGTATAGCCACACACACATCACACCACAACAGGAATCAATCAACGGATCACAACAAAGATATGAAACCATACTCAATCAAGGAGTGGATCACAGTCCAACAACAACAACGATGAATAACACAATTCGTCATCAACAATAGGAAGGTACAAACAACACACACGCTAGCATTTAAACACCGAACTAGCATGCTTATCAAACGGGTAAACCAAACGTAGTTCTGAAGAACACACAAGACTCATCACGGTTCAACGAATCACAATATTGAACAATTAGCACGATTCAAGACACCAAAACCTACATGGATTCCTACCATATAGTTCTAGACATACGAAACATCAAGAAGACACTCAAATAGTTCCACAAAAGAACAACGGGAAGTCAAAAGACCAAATACCAAGTCAAAAGAATCACGGGGAACAAATCCCGAACATCAACCATGATGTTCCCCACGGGTGGACCCACGGGTAGACCCCCAACCGTGGTTCCGCCTGCTGGTACACACCCAGCGGCCTTATGTTCCCCGCCGGCGGGCGGCGGGTAGGCCACTGCCCGCCGTTCCGCCCGCGGGTACGTGCCTGTGCCCAGAATAATCCCGCCAGGGATTTTCAACATCAAGCTCAAATTCAAGTCCAAAACATGCCAAATCTCACCAAATACAACAAAATGACTTTAATCAAAGGAATAGCCAAGCAATGGCACACATGAACCCTAATAACAAGCTCTAGATATGTATTTTCACAATACAATGCATAAAAACTCACATTTCATAGCAAAACACATGTAGAATCCAAGAAATCATCATATAGGTAAGCAAAATAGATTTTGTAGGTCATGGGTTACCTCTTGTAGACAAAAACCATCACTTAACACTTCACCAAGCTCCTACTAAGGCTCGCCTTCTAAACCCACTTCAAGAACACGCCAAAAGATCATAAATATTCTATCTTTAAGAAAAGACACTTTAGGAAACACTAAAAACACAAGATAAACATAGATCTTACCCTCCTAGATGCTCAAAGATATGAATGGTAGAATCTTTGAGACAACACTTGAAGATTTGACAAAGCTCCAACTTGGCTTGGAAGAAAAGCTATCCAACTTTTAGAGAGAAGGTAGAGCTCTAATTTGGGAAGTGTAAGGAACAAGAATGAGGAGTGTCTACTAGGTTAGCTTGCATTACTAACACAAGGTGAAATGTCATGAATACCCTTACTAAAATGAAGAGGTGTAAGGGAACTCCTCTCAAAGCTCAAGGTACAACTTTGACTTTGGGGTTGACTAGTCAATTACTAGTCCCCGACTATTGAATTTTCAGGAATTTAATGAATTAAATTACCATTTGATTTAGGAGTAATTACTTAATTAATCCCTTAATGGAATTTGGATTACGGGGTGTCACAGAGACCATAAGATGACCTTTAAGTATCTAAGTGTTTAGGACTTAGGACTTTTAGGACACGTGGTGAGCTGTGTGTTGTTTACCGTTTGTTATGTTTGCATTGTTACTTCTGTTTCGTTTTTGCGCTCTCGTAGTTAGCGCCAGGTAAGGGTGCGTTGCTTATTTGTGCCTACCGTAACCGTGATGTTATTGTAGAAGTTTCGTCATGGCTACGCCTCGTCACCGCGCCCGTACGACTGTTCCTCCGTCGCCGCATGCCGGGAATCGAGATGTGGGACGTTTAGTCTCGGGACATAGGCCGCCAGTGTTCGCTGGAGAGGAGGATCCCGTGATACTCGAGGAGTGGATCCGATCCCTCGATAAGATCTTCGCCATTGTAGGTTGCCCTGAGGATCGCCAAGTGGAGCTGGCTTCTTTCTACTTCAATCATGAGGCTGATCTCTGGTGGGTACACGAGGATCCCGCGTGTCAAGAAGAGCCTGATTTCGACTGGTCAGCCTTGAAGGACAAGATAAGGGAGAGGTTTTATCCATCGCACGTCCGAGCCGCCATGTACGAGGAGTTTTTGCGCCTTCAACAGGGGTCGTCATGTGTGGTGGAGTACCACAAGCACTTCTTGGAGCTCGCGCATTTTGCAAAGATGCTGGTCCCCACCGAGCTAGCAAAGATGGAGAAATTCGTGGCAAGGCTCAACTATGAAGCCCGGGAGGCATTAAGTGTGAGCAAGCCTAGAACTCTGAAGGAGGCTTATCTGAGCGCGACGGATCTGTATCGAGTGCAACAGCTGCAGCGAGGGTCGTTTTAGTTCGCCAAGAAGAGGAATAAAGGAAGTGGGTCCCACAGTTTCAAGAAGCTGAGACAAGACTTCCGAGCCAGACCCGCACCCTCTCCGCCTCAAGGATCAACTCGGGTCGAGAGTGGAGCTCAAGAGAGGAATTTTACATGCAAGAGATGCGGGAAGGACCATGTAGGGAAGGATTGCCAAGGGAACGCGCTTCGATGTTTCAAGTGCGGGGAAAGAGGCCACAAAGCTTTCGTGTGCCCTCTCCAAGCTAATCAGAGAGCCTTGCCATCCGGTGTGAGACCTAGTGGACCCTCGGGAGGGAGTTCCGGTCTAGGTGTAGCTGGGGGCAAAGCCTTCGATCCGAGTGTTCGTGGTGGGCCGGTCACAGGCCGAGTCTGAGGGTTTGGTGGAGGAAGAGACGACATGTAACCTTTCTTAAGCTTACCTTTACCTTGAGAGTGTGCCTTCTTGTGTTTTCCTTATCCTTTGTTGTGTGATCCTCTTGTATCTTTCTAGTGAGTTGTCCCCTTGTGATTTGCTTGTTAATTCTGAGTGGTTTAATGTTACTTCTAAGCTCGAAGCCTTACGAGTATACTGTTAACTCAAACATCATTTTTTCGGGTTGTCTAATCCTAATTTGTTAACTTAAAATTTAGAGTAGCCAACCATTACGAAATCTTTACAAGTGAAACCTAAAAAGCTAAAGGGTTAATTTCGTAACCACTAAGTTTCGAACCCGGGTTGTGACACCCCGTAAATCCAAACTCTAATTTAGGATTAATTAGATAATTAATCCTAGTCTTATTATTAATTTATTCCTAAAATCCTGAAAATTCAATAGTCGGAGGACTAGAATTTGACTAGTCAATCCAAGTCAAAGAGTTTTACCTTATGCCTAGTGAGTTGTTCCCTTGTGTCCTTATTCTTCCAACTTTAGTAAGGGCAAAGGAGTCTTTCAACCTAAAGTTTGTGCTCCAAGTTAACCTAGCATCATCCTTTCATTTCATCCACCAACACTCTAAACACAAAACCTCTACCTTCTCTCTAAGAATTTGGTAGCTTCTTCTCCAAGCCAAATTTTGGGCATCCTAAATCCTACAAGTTGACCTCCAAGATTCATACTTCCCTAACCTTGAGAATAGGGGAGGGTAAGATCCTTGATCTCTTGGTGTTTTTAGTATCTTTTTAGATGTATTTTTCTAAAAATAGAATCTTTGTTGTCTTTTGGTGTGTTTATGAAGTTGGTGTTGAAGAAGAGCTTTAGGAGAAGCTTTTAAGGGTGAGAAAAGTGAAGTGTTAGGCTACAAAGGTAACCGATGCTTTACAAAACCTATTTTCTTACTTATATGATGATTTCTTGGCTTCTACTTGTGATTTTTTTGATGAAATGTGAGATTTGATGCATTGTCTTGTGGTAATGCATGTTTAGAGCATGTTATTAGGGTTCTTGTATGCCATTGCTTGGCTATTTCTTGGGTTCAAGTCATATTGTTGTATTGTGTAAGATTTTTGATGTTTTGGACATGAATTTGGACTTGTTGTTGAAAATCCCCGAAGGGATATCTTGGTGTACAAGGGTGTACCCGCGAGCGGAACGGCGGGCAGGGAACCACCCGCCGCCCCACCCGCGGGGAACCAGCCTCGTGGGTGTATGTACCCGCGGGCTGAACCACGGTTGGAGGTCCACTCGTGACCCCACCCGCGGGTACACAATTGATGTTGGTCGGAGATTTGTTCCCCGTGATTCTTTTGACTCGGTATTGATGTTTTGACCTCCCGATGTTGTTTTATTGGGCTATTTGAGTGTCTTCTTGATGTTTCGTATGTCTAGAACGGTATGTTAGGAATCCATGTAGGATTTGGTGTCTTGAATCGTGCTAAGTGTCCAACTTTGTGATTCGTTGGACCATGATGAGTCTTGTATGTTCTATGGAACTATTTTTGGTTTACCCGTTTGATAAGCATGCTAGTTTGGTGTTGAAATGCTAGTGTTTGCGGTATGTTACTTCCTATTGAGATTGGCAACTTGTGTAGACCATCGTTGGTGTCGGATTGTAATCCTTTCTTGTTGAGTATGGTTTCATATCTTTGTTGTGATCCATTGATTGATTCCTATGATGTAAATGTGTGTACTTGATGTACCTTGATTGCACGATTAAGGTTTATGGGGCCTTAATCTCCAAGGTACTGATGCGGTCCTTGTGTGGCCATGATTGAGATTGGTGGTTTGTTACTTGAGATTGGTAGTTTTATGTTATGATATTGAACGGTACCCTCGTGTACTATGAGATCGGTGGTAAAACGGTTCTGATTGGTGGTAAAGATTGGTGGGGGACGACGGTCCCAGGAGGAATAAGGTTGGACTCAGAAGTACAGGGTGGCACTAGGAGGTAACGATTGGAACTAGTGATAAGGTCGAGGGTAGCCATAAGATTGGAACAGGGCATAAGGTTGGAACTTGGAATTGTGTTCTTGTGACATGTAGTTGGCACTGTGGCATGTAGTTGCCAATGTGTGTATGCGTTCCTTGCTAATGAGCATGTCGAGATGTATTCTACTTTGTGATCAGTAGAATAAACCTCGAATTGTATTTGTTACAGTTGGTAATCTTATCTTGTTGTTGTCTTGGGATGTTGATTTCCCTCTTTCCTTTGAGAGTGTGATTGAGTCTTTGCAATTGACTTCTCTCTATGACTTTTGAAATGATATATATTGTATTTCGTTTCAAAAATGGTTTTGATTTATACTATCTATATATGTTATTTAACGCGTATTGATGGGTTACCAGCAATGTTCGCTGACCGGTGTCATCCCCTTTCTTTATGTTGCTTTACACGTCTTGAGTAACTTTTGGAGAGCGTGCTAGCTGCTTGTTAGATAGTGCAACTCCCTATGACTGTTTTAGTTAGAGATTTAGCCTGTGAGCCATGGATTTTTATGAGTATGACTTATATGTTTGTTTAGACTTAGCCTGTGCACCTATAGATGTGTAGGTGTGGCATATCATCTCCCGGATTTGTGTAGTTAGCTTCCGCTTTGCTTAATCTTAATGATTAAACTTTACCTCTTTCATAAGCTTTAATTGGTTTTAAAAGTTGTTGAAATTCGGGGGTGTTACACGGGTATCCAAGGTTCCAACCTAACCTTTAAACCGTCTAGACCAATTGTGTTTCTTGAACCTTATTCTACCTAAATTCCTTTTAATCCATAATTTCCATCTTACCCAAAAATCCCCAAATTAAAATCTTCTTTTCCCAAATTTCACCCAAAATCCCAAAACCCTTCCTCTTCTTTTTCCCCTCCACCTGCAAGTCATACCCGAGACCCCCCCTGCCCGTCGCCGACCTCTACCCGTTGCAACCGGAGCACGCCACCACCATGCCAGCCAACGCCGAGCCTCACCGCCGTGAACCACTGCCGGGAGACGCCATTTTGCCGTCGACCAGTCGGAATCGAAGCGAGAGAGAGAGAAGAGAAAGGAAGAAGAAGAAGAGAAAGTTGGGGCTACCTTTGGTTTTGGGCCTACCTTGGGGTTTTGGACGTCTCAGAATCATGCCTAGGAGGTCTAATCTGACGAGAAGAATGGAATGGGTGGATGCCCACTACCTAGTGTTGGAAGATAAAGCTTTTGACCCCGACTCATTTTCGAGTTCTTTGTTGGAAATGTTGAACTACCAAGGGTTGTTGGATGGATTTCTCACCATTAGGACCGAGACATACCCAAGCTTGGTGAAAGAGTTCTACCATCACATGAGTGTGACTAAAGATAGTGGAAGGATGGAATTTACCTCTAAGGTGAGAGGTGTAAAAATTTCCTTAACCGAGAAACGATTGGCTCAACTTTTGAGTTTAACAACTACGGGAGTTTCGTAGTATAGTGGTGACTCTTGGATTGAGACGAATAACATGAGTTATCGGAATAATCTGAGTTAGCTTTTGGGAAGAGCTAGTGGTTTTACTCAGGCCACGAGGCCAGAGAGGAAGTGGTTATCTGCTGAGCAAAATATTTTGGTCATGCTCGTTTCTGACTGTTTGTTGCCCAATAACAATAAGAGTCGTCTGCTGGGTAAGCTGGAGTGCAAGTTTTCTTTTTATCTGAAGAATAAGGTGAAGTTCAACTTTCCTTCGTTGATGTTACAACACATGGTCTATTGTTGAGACCATAACCGCAAGAGTTTGCCTTATGGCATGGTTTTAAGCTAGATCTTTGCCAAGAAGGGAGTGAGCTTGATGGTTGTGTGCCTAAGTCGGTGGGCAAGATGGTTTTGGATGCCACAAACCTCCGTAGTTGCAACCTGTTTTAGCTGGATGATGCGGATTACATCACTCTTGAAGAGGTCGCCAGAAAAGCCCCTGCCGAGAGGAGTTTGTTGGTTGCAGAGCTTGAGATTCCTATTGGAAAGTTGAACCTCACGGTTCAAAGCTTGGGAGGAGACGCTGGGAATGAAGGTGGAGAAGAGCGGGAAGAGGAAGAAGGTGGGGAAGAAGCAGAGGAGGTCGAGGAGAGCAACTCCGAAAGTGAAAAAAACATAAAGAGAAAGGAAGTGAGAACCAAAAAGGAGCATGATGCTATGACACACGAGGAGCGTGTGGTCACCCTTCTTTGTCAGCAGAACCGGATGATTGAGGAATGTTTCGCTTTCATGAAGACTCAGTTCGTCGCTGTCAACCAGAGGTTGGACCAGTTGTAGGCCGATTTTTGCCGTGGTGGAGCTAAGGAAGATTCGGACGAGGATGCCGAGGAGTCGGAGAGTGAGTCCTTTTAGACTAGAGTAGGGGTAAGCTCGTTTCTTTCCTCATTTGTTGTTATCGCTGATAGTTGTTGCTTGTTGGCTGTGCTTGTTGCTCTTTCTTTTTTATCTTGTTTGTTAGTTTGTTTCTTGGATAGTTAGTTTAGTGTTTTGCCTAGTTATAATTCAGTTGTTTGAGTTTAGGCGTGGTTTAGAAGGCTTCTAGTTGTCGTTGTCTTGACCTTAGCGTTTATGTTGCTCAAAGAATTTCCTTTATGACCTTTTGGAACC